ACTTAATAAAAACAGCAATACCAACGTTATTAACAGAAAATACACTGAATTGAACGAAAGAATTCAATGTATGTATGTATGTATGTATGTATGTATGTATGTAGGTATGTATGTATGTATGTATGTATGTATGTATGTATGTATGTATGTATGTATGTATGTATGTATGTATGTATGTATGTGTGTATGTATGTATGTCGCATAACTCTGGTTCATGATTGACAGTTACTTGGCAATATCTGTTTTGTTATTATTAGTTTTGAAATATGGGTTTGCCCATTTCTGCCTCTTGTTATTTGGTACAAATGTTGATGTTGTTACTGTTGTTGTTGATGTTGTTGATGTTGTTGTTGATATTGTTGATGTTGTTGTTGATGTTGTTGATGTTGTTGTTGATGTTGTTGATGTTGTTGTTGATGCTGTTGATGTTGTTGATGATATTCTTGTTGTTGCTTTCTACTATTGTAAGTTCATTAGCACTATTGAACGCAAGAAACCATAAATCAAATCTATCCTAAGCATTTAAATTTTTTATACATACATACATACATATACATACATACACACATATACATACAAACATTCACACACATAAATTCACACATATACATAAAAAAGCGCTTTTTTAAAACCGTCTGCCTTATTCGTAAAAAATAATTTTTTGTATAAAAAAAAACAGAGATACATCAAATACAAAACAAACACAAATGCAGAAAATACAAAACAATATAATATACCGTTTTGTATGGCTTGTATATTTTTTTTTGCAGTGCGAGAAAATTTATTTATTCTCACTACAGGCCAGAATAACCCCATCAATTTGTTCATTGCATTCATTGGTCTTGTTCAGTTTTGTTTGTATGTTTGTTTGTTTGTGTGTGTGTGTGTGTGTATATATTTGTGTGTGTGTATGTGTTTAGTTTATGTATCTATGTTTTATTTTGTGTACGTGGGAACGCATGTATGTGCGTTCGTTCGTCTTTTCACATTTTTAAAAAGTTTTTTACTCACTGTCACATAGTACGTTTGGGTAGTTTTTAAATCATCGTCATCATCATCATCAAGATAATCATCATCATTACCACAACCACTGTTGTCGTCATCATCAGCATCTTCGTCATCATCATCATCATCATCGTTTTCGTCATCATCATCATCATCTTCCTCAGGGGACCAGAGCAATATTTCAATGCACTGGAACAGAAAGATAAATCCATCATCTCAAAGTTGTATAATTCGCGCGCTCTCACTTTCTCTCACTCTCTTTCTCTTTCTTTCTTTCTTTCTCTCTTTTTTATTTTTCTTTTACATATTCTCTCTTCTCTCTCTCTCTCCTTATCTCTCTCTCTTCTTTCACCTCTTCATTTTGTATCTTGCTCCTTTTTCTTTTCATCATACCATCTACCAATGTTATTTATTTCTGTATATCTTCTATTTCTTCCATTCTAAATTGTTGTATTCACCTTCTTTCTCTCTCTTTCTCTTTTCCTTTCTCTCTCTTCAACTCCTTCTCGTTATTTCCATCTGTCTTCTTTCTCCCTGTGTTAATTTATTTTCCAGATTGAAGTTATGGACGTACAAACATCCATAGATACAAAGAGATGTATTTATACGTAATTACAAATAGCACGCAAACGTACACACACACACAGGTGTACACACACACACACACACACACACAGAGGTG